CACACACACACACACACACACACACAAGAAGAAAACATTACACCTACAACTTTGTTTCAAATTGTGTGTATATATAACAACATTTGCTAACTGAATACAACATCCAGCTCCTGGCCACCTTCTCACCACTTGTCAAAGTTCTACTGAAATAGACACACTTAACGCAACATGATGGCATCATCGACTTGTACAGTACAGATGTGCTGAAAGGCGAGAGTCTCAACTTTCAGCTAAAAAAAAGACAGCTCTAGCTATTACAGTTTTTATTTTATGGCAGCTTACAGTTTAAACGGGATCATACTAGCAGGGCACCTCCAGCGGCCCGCTGCCGCTCCGTTTTTCATGGGGTAAATAGTAGCTCATTTCCCAATTCCAAAAAGAAAGAATGGTCCTACCAGCTTGCCACTTCAATATGAAGAAGATCAGTTCAACATGGGGGAAAAAACCTGACCTGTAGGCCAGAGAAACGTTCATTAGCACATCAAGTTCTATTCAGTTTACCGGTAAACATATCACGAATGTACAACAGGTCAATTATTAATCATCTTGGCTACGTAGCTCAATCTATGCATTCCAGTAGCGTTTGCTACAAACAAATATAAAAACAACAATAAAGGAAAACAACTGTCTGACAGACAGCATAGCCGAATTCAAGGCAACACATAACAATAATCATTTGATTGCTCTTGGTTTCAAGTTAAGCCCACTAAAGTGCTTAAGTAAATAAAAGTGTTTCAAAAACAGCGTTTTTGAACCGGAGTTCTGCTCGCGGTGGGAACTCCGCCGAACAAGGTCATTTTTTTATAGCGAAAACGATCGACTGGTCACTGACAAGTAAAAGGGTGTTATTGGTAGATGTTAAGCACACTTACCGCTGAGGTAAAATAGTATAAATGAATTGAGGGGAGAAAAACGCTTTGTTTTCCAACGCCGTTCTACAAGCAACAAGCTTACAGCCACGGCAGGAGCAGCTTTCATGTTTGCCGCGACGTGGAAGGAGCCAATCAGGAGAGGGACCTCACATCAGCTGACGTGGGTCATGTGACAGGGAGTAGTTGATATGGGTTACACTTTGTTGTGCTTTTATTACAGAAATATTATTATTATCATCACTATTATTATTAAGAACATGCGATTTCTATGTTTTGTTTATGTATTGGTTGATGCTAAAAAATATATTTTTTTAGAAAAAAAAAGAAGAAGTAAAAAGGAAGTTAAATGCCGCCCCCTGCAGACTGCCGCCCTGTTCGGCCGCACATGTTGCACATATCAAGCTCCGCCACTGCTAGACGCTGTGTAATATCAGAGCTCAGCTCAGCTTCCATTACATAACATTTGAATAAGTGTTCATTTGTGAGTCTTTGGTAGTTAGGCACAGCCAGGAGGCAGCATGTCAAGAAAACGAAAAGTGGATATAAGAGACTTCATTCAAAGTCAAAACGTAAGTTGGACATGTGACACCCCTGCATTAAGCTCAGACTCACCTCCTCCTTCACACACATACTCAAAACTAACTTTTACAAACTCATCTCCTCCACATAACTGACTCCTCAGACACATTTTGTTCGTATTATTATAATAATTATTTTTTTATTATTACTATTATCATCATAATTATTATTACTAGTAGTAGTAGAAGTGTAACTTCAAAACTTTTATCATTTAACTTTATTGTAAACTTATCTATTGCAATGTATATTTTCACATTAAAAAGCTCTGAAAAATGAACAGTATCATCATCGTCAACAGATTTTTTTAAGCTTAATGCAAAGATGTACACTTTTCATTAGATTTATCTTATTTTTTCCATTTATTTTTTGTGTGTTGAAATGCAACAACTGTTTAAACACTTTTAAGGGAAAAAACATATTTAATATGTTTTTATACACTCAAATGTTAGGGTGATGATCATGTGTAAAACATTAGTTCAGCATGTCCTCTAACACAGCAAATGAACAAACGGCCAGATCTCAGGAGGGACCGTTTATGTATAAATAATTTTTATACTTTTGACTAGGCCTGGGAAAGTAACACATTTTGCTGGACGATATTTTGTCCAACAAATTGTTGATGATAAACGATATTGTCAACATTATCTAGACCAAAATAACCACTAATATAATGTTAATATATCATAATAATGCATGTACACCCTTTAAAATGCAACAAATAAACCTTCATTTAACATTGAAATGTCCAGAACCAGAACTTCTAAATGAATAAAAATAACAAACAAAAATTGAATAAAAAAGGAATCTCACTCCCTGTTAGAAAATGTTGCACCAAAAACAATAAAAAAGACCCAAAACAATAAATACAATGGCCTATCCATTGTCAACAGCCAAAACTGCACTTCAATAATGAATGAATGAATGAATGAATGAATGAATGAATGATCAATTTATTCAGTCAGTTATCTTAAGATAATGTACATTAACATGTCATACAATTAGATACAAATACCATTTCTCACTAACATATGCCTTGTTTTTTATATGGTGTCTATTTGGTATATCATGACTGAATAGGTTTAGGCAGAAGCAATAGCTTATGTAATTGCCTAACCTACTTACAAAACATTTTTTTAATTTCCCGCAATGAACCAACAACCCAAATAAAAGTAAAACACAAATCCATCCATCAACATCAAAAAATTAATACTCTTCAAAAATATTTTTACTGATAAGTTTTTTAAGAACTGAAAGAGAAGTTGCTAATTTTAATTCTATTTTAGCCTCATTCCAAAATTTTACTCCCATTACAGAGATACATCTCCTTTTCATGCCCTTTTTGGCTTTTTGTAGAACAAACATACATACACCTCTTAAATCATATTTACTTTCCCTCTTTACAAAGAACATTAGTATATTTTTTGGCAGAGCTGTTAATTTTACTCTAAACATAAATTGCATTATTTTATAATAATATAGATCTTCTAATTTCATAATCTGTGATTTTAAAAACAACGGGTCAGTATGAGCATAATAATTGCTCTTGTTCATAACTCGAATAGATTTCTTTTGTATAGTTTTTATTTCATGTATATACGTTTTAAAAGTTGAACCCCATATTTCTATACAATATGCCATGTATGGTTGTATTAGTGAACAGTATATTAGACGTAAGGCCTTATGGTTTAGTATGTCCTTCAGCTTATATAATAGACCCAAAGATTTGGCAATTTTTCCTTTTATGTAATTTAAATGATGCTTCCAGGATAAGTTAGAGTCAATCACAACACCAAGAAATTTTATTTCAGACACTCTTTCAATTTCAGTATCTGAAATTGTTAATTTAAAGTCCCCATTTTTTACCTTCTTATTTCCAAAAATCATAAATTTAGTCTTTTTTATATTCAGTGATAGTTTATTTACATCAAACCAAGATTTGAGGATATTTAACTCTTTTTCGGCCTTCTTTAAAAGTTCTTTTATATCTTTACCTGAACAAACTAAATTTGTATCATCTGCAAACATTATAAATTTGAAAAAATCTGCCACGTTACATATGTCATTTATATATAAAGTAAATAATATAGGACCTATTACTGAACCTTGTGGAACTCCACAACTTATTTCTCTAAATCCAGATTTTATATCTTTTATTTGTACATACTGTTGTCTGTCTTGTAAGTAACTCTCTATCCAGGACTTCGCTATTCCTCGTAGGCCATAATTTTCCATCTTTTTCAATAATCTCCTGTGGTCAATGGTGTCAAAAGCCTTCTTTAAATCAACAAATATGCTAATAGAGAGTTCTTCGCTTTCACTTGCTTGGGCTATTTCTTCTACCATCTGCATTATCGCATAGGTAGTGGTTCTGTTTTTTCTAAATCCATATTGACTGTCACTTAATAATTTATTTTTAGTAATATATACGTCTAGCTGGTTCACAAATAATTTCTCGAGTATTTTTGAAAATTGTGGAATAATTGCTATTGGCCTATAGTTTTCCATAGAATGCTTATTTCCAGTTTTAAATGTTGGGATCACTTTTGTTATCTTCATAGTTTTAGGAAAATGACCTTTTTGTAGTGATAGGTTATATATATATGTCAATGGTCTCACAATAGAGAATATAACTTCTTTTATAATTCCCATATCAATTTCATTTATATCTGTGGATTTTTTGTTTTTAAATTTTCTTACTGTATTTACAACGTCAGTCTCACTTATCTCATGTAGAAACATTGAGTTGATATTACTATTTATCAGATTATTAAATGTATCTGCATCAGGTGGGACTGCTATCTCATTTGCTAATGAGGGCCCGACGCTTACAAAAAATTTGTTAAATTCTTCCACTATATTTATTAGATCATTTACTTTATGATTTGAACTATTTAGAAAGTAGTTTGGCCATTCCAAAGTTGTCATCCTTTTTTGAATTATATTATTTAATATTTTCCACGTCCTACGAGTATCGTTTCTGTTTTTATCTAAAATTTCATCATAATATTGCTTCTTTCTGATCCTAATAGCTGTAGTTAATTTATTCTTATATTTTTTGTAATTGTCTTCATTTTCACTTGTCCTATGTTCGATGAATTTTTCATATAATACCATTTTCTTTTTACATGCCTTTAACAGACCTTCTGTCATCCACAGCTTTCTTTTATAATTTTTCTTTGATAATAAATAAAAATAATAATAGAGTTGTACATTTTTTAACTTTGATATATATATATATATATATATATATATATATATAGAGAGAGAGAGAGAGAGAGAGAGAGAGAGGATGGAAAAATTATTGAGATGGGCACGTGACGTGTCAAGGGGTCTTTACATAACACCCCCCACCCCAAAACCGCACAAGCCTGCTGTGTCCCCCCCACTTCTGAAATCAAAATTTCGTCCCTGGTTACAGCATTCTGCATATGTGGTTTGCGTAAACACCACGTCTTTTGCTTTTAAAGTAATATTCTTTTTAATTTTGTCATCTGCAAAATGCTTTTTCTTACTAGGGGAACAAATGGAGTCTCTTCTATTTTCTTTCAGACTCTGAAAAAGGATGAATCAGTGGCCAAGAAGGATGTGCAGAGGATTCTGGAACTCAGCCATAAACAGAGGTAAATCGAGACATCACGCGTGATTCAAACATGGGTCGACAACGGGCCACATTTCACATGGTTTACATGAAAATGGTGACTGACGGCTTAAAAAATCTGGCATGTAATTAAAGGATGATGAAATTCCAATAATACTGTAAAAATCAAGATGGTAAAATTGCTTACAAAGAAAATTAGACTCAGAGATGAACATGTGAGTGTAACTGAGGGATCTTTATGTTTTGAAGCTGCTTTAGCAACATTTTTCTACCTTTAACAACCATGTAACATAATAAAGCTATAAATATATTGTGGAAATTAAAAAAAATTAATAAAGTGGTTCTCTTGCATTTGTCTAAAAACTCCCCACCAGTAACATGTTGATTCAGGTACAGCCTGTTATTTTGTCTATGGCCGGTGAGCTGTGGTGGCCATCTTGAATTGGTTTAACTTCAAGGGAACCAGTTGTAGCTGTACATTCCAGGACTTTCTAAACTGTATACATCCAGTTCAATGCAAAAGTTTGAGGCAAAATATTTTAATTGGAATGTGAATGGAGAAGGAATCCACACTGAAAAAAAGGGTCAGCCTAAAACGTTGACCTTATGTAATTTAATTACTTTTGAATTTTCCATGGCATTTTTGTCAATGGAGCATCCACTTTTAAGGTAACCTGTCATGTTTACGTTATGTTCATTTGACTTGTGTTTAATGATTTAAATAAATAGCATTTGTGATTTCAAAATGTTATTTAAACTTTACATAATCATTTTAATCTGTGTTTACCAAGGCCAAGGATCTTATTTTTGGGTTAAACACAGTTTCCTTCGTGCTTCTTCTTCACAGTGGTGCCAGACTGGAAATAGTAAGGTATTGTACCAAGATCTTAAAATGATCGACTTTTGAGAAGTCAAAGTTAAGTGTGTGGCAACATCTTCATTTGGATTGATAACAAAATGTAACAAGACTTCTATAGAGGTCTAGTTTCAATGAAACTCATCCAGTGGTTCATGGGATATTTTGTTACAAGTCAAACATTAGCTAGTAAGTTTATGGCAATAAATATGGAACTCAGAGAATATGTGATAGGAATAGTTCATTGCCACTACAACAAGTTTGGCCCCGATATGTGAAATTATGAATTTACCATGTTTGTGTTTTATGACAGCAAACCATGAGTCGGTAGCAAAAGTAAGTTTGTTGTGTACATAAACATTGTTATGTTTAGCTGTTGCATTCAAAATTGGCACGAGTGGCAAGAATTCATTTTCCAAGCTTTATTCAACCTACGTCAAATGTAGCAGAATCAGGCATCCATCCCTTCTTCTATCTTCTCCACATTCTCATCTTATATCCTAAACTGCCCCCTAGTGGTAGACACAACATGCATCTAATGTTACTTTCTGAAAGTTCAAATTAAATCCATTTAGCTAAACTAAAGTTAGACAGCTTTGTTTGCTAACAGTTTTTTTTAACAGAACTATAATGTGGCTGGTATTGGCCTTATGGCTTCAGTTGTAGTTTATACTAACTAAACAGTTAATCCAAGTTAACCCATCTTTTGGGGAATTTGTTAACACTTGCTAGGGCTGTCGCGGATGAGGAATTCCCCCTGCGGTGATTCAGGGTGGCTTAATATTGCGGTGTGCGATATTATTGCAGCACTTTTTTTTTATTGCAGTACTATCTAAACATAATGTTTACACATTTAAAAAAGGTTAAAAATTGCCGTGCCTTCTTTTATAACACTTTACTGAATGCAGATCAAAGGGCAGTAACAACACAGATCGCAGTAACGTTTGTTTCTCCGACAGTCGGAGTCCGACTGAACTTAAAAAAAACAAAATTCAGGAGAAGGTTAAACTTTTAAATGCAAATTTGGCTGCAGCATCTAACAAATAAGAAACAAGTCCCCATTTTGTTTAGTTGTTCAAAATCAAGCATAAAAATTACATGTACCGGGCGCGGGGCACTATCATTTAACTTTCACTTTCACACACACGAATGACGGTGATTTATAGCTCGGTCACGTCCTTGTTACCCACAAGGATAACCAGCATGTTAACCATATACGATTTGAGAGAGGATCTGAGAGGGGTGGCAACATTTCCAGCAACACTGAAAACCCTCTCGGATGGTGCGCTCGTTGCACTAACACACATACTTGCGTGCGACTGGCGAGCAAAGGGAATCTCTCCCAGTTGTTGCTCCACCATGTCAGGGGGGTTTCTTTAGGGTGGATGCATTCCTCCTGCAGGTGGCGAGTGAGCTCCAGCTCGGCTCAAACTCTCTTCGGGACGGTTGCAGAAGCAGTGCTTGTCCGGGACTTCAGCAGGTCTCCGAGCGTTTATTATTATTTTTTTGCCGCTGCAGCTCTGTCTCGGCCAAGGACTCTGGCTGCGCAGCAGCTGACGTACTGAAAACCAAAGTGCTCCCAAAGGAGCGAAGTAACGTTTCGTTTTGATACCAGTGCAGCCATCCTTCTCAACATGCATCATTGAGTTGAACCAAGTTCAGTAATCGCGGTGGCCCATGATGCAGCACGATGGGTTTCTTCATATTGCGATATTTCATTTTTGCGGTTACCGTGACAGCCCTAACACTTGCCACTCTCAGCATTTTATGTTTCTGAAAAAACCTCCCAAAAATATTTTTCTCAGTCTAAACTGTTGGAGTTAATCATGCATTAGAATGATGGGACTTTGTTGCTGGAACCTAAATGGATTTCCATAATACCCTCTTTATAAATGTGAATGCTTGTAAATTACTGAATGTACAGCAAATAACTCCGAAATGTCTCATCTCAGAAGCAGGTGTGTGATCTAAATGGTTTTCTAGTTCCTTTAAATTGTAAACCCAGAATAGAGAGGTGGATTTCAAATGGTCACCATTAGCACTGCCTGTTAATCTCAAGGTTGTCTAGTTTTTCCACGGTGGTAGACAAAGCGGCAGGTAGACGATTCTTAAATTGATAATAAATCTTCCTTATATGTCTGAAAATAATGAGTCTGTCTACATTTTGTTAAAGCACATAAAACATCTGCAATATAGTGCTTGTTTTTTTTACCAGCGAACAAAAAAAAAAGGGATTTATCCAAAGTGCTTTTCCAGTTTGGATTCCCTGATTAATGGTGTGTGTAATGAGCCTGTTCATGATTAGGACTCATTTGTAGCCTCACATGCTCTCTGAAATGTCAGCCTGATTGAAGTCCAGCCTCTCCAGCAGTATCTTGATAGTCAATCAATAGCCCATCACAGGTCCATAGCAGCCCTCACATGCTATCGAGCTAAAAAGCATAAAGCAGCAGCTTGGCTCAGTGTTGCTTACCTAGCATTTTGTGAAGCGTAGTTTTTTCAGGGTGTTATTAATCCACCTTTGGAATTCCACAGCTGCCAAGTGCAATTACTAGCTGACTCCATCACGGTAGATGCAGACAGGTGATTCATTGCTAGTCATTTATTTTTGACAACTCTTAACAGAGATTTGATTGCTTTCTGAAAATAATTTTGCTACAAACTGTAATGCAACAGAGATGTTTACCAACAGGGGAGACACACAGGGTTACGCTGTTATCTGTTTTAACAATTAACTCAGATATGATTAAACATGTTATGAAAAAATATAACAACACATGTGTGCATCTGTCAAAATATGTCTCCTGCTATTTGTGCCTTTTCCAGCTGATTGAATGCTGCTGATCTTGTTTGTGCAGTACAAAGTGTCCATGTCTTGGAGTCGAGATTCAAAATGGAAATAAAAAGTAGAGTGAAGGGAAAAGAAGGCTAGTTGACTGGCTGTAGTTAATTAACATCAACCTATGCAAAGAGACAAGACGTCTGGCAAAACAAAGTGATATCTGGTTGCTAAGCAGCTTTACTACCAAGAAAGATGCTGCCACTTCATTACACCACTGCTCGACTGCGGCCTGCATCTTCTACATAAAAAAAAAATTGCAGCCTTGCTTAAAAATAGTAAACAAAGTGTCTTTTTGACTTTAAATAGGCAGTTTTTATGTGATATGCTTCCTACAAGCAGTTTTTTTAAGGCACTGACCCACATCACTAGCCTGCCTAATGTATAATTCATGGGGCATTGCTGTTATCACTGCACAGGAGCATCAAACAGAACGGAAAGAGCCAAAGAATTCTAATGCATAACATTTAACATTAATGTTGAAAAGCATAATGAGTGCAGGACCATTCTGTATACAGCACACCATCAAATATATGAAGAGATGTTTTTTTATTTCAAATGCAACATAAAACTAAATATGCAAAATAGAATGTCATATATTTTGTTTTCATGTGAATTAAAAAAATTATTACAGAACAACTTTTTGCTTGTTTACTTTTTCTACATGAAGCTGCTTTAACAAATCTACAGAACAAGCTAGGTTTTGAATGCAAACACGGTCACAGAACACTCACCCCTCCCGTTGGGTATCTTCCCTGGTTCTGCCGTAACCGGACACAACTTCATTTCTAGAGGAAATGAGATAGTGCTAAACACCAGTCGCCCTTTTCTAGGTCCAAACATCTTTTGCTGTTCGTGACTTTAAATGTTTTTTTTTTTTGTTTTTTTTTTGGGGACTCTGGTAGTTTGTCCTAAAGTTGAAATGGTAGCAGCTGGCTATTTCTCCTTCTCTGATATTATTGAGCAGAAAATCTCTCACACCAGTGGTGTTCTGTTGGTAAATACACAAGTGCGTAATGAGCTGAGGACCCAGGGAAGTGCTGCGGTTCAGCGAGACCGACAATCGGTCCAATAGTTCCTTTCGGTCTGAAATGTGTTATTGACCTACATTTTTAGACAAATGCGAGAGAACCACTTCATTCTTTTTTTTTCCTCGTTTTTTAATCCCCACAATATATTTACAGCCATACTGTGTTAGAATGTTGTTAAGAGGCATGAAAAAAAGTTTTCACTATAGATCACTTACATGAATTAAATGTATGTCAACACGTATTTATTCATTTATTGAATTTATTCAGTCTTCTGGGAGTCCATAGCACACTGCTGTAGGACAGAGTAGAATGAACTTGGATTATTTTTCACCATCTAATGTGTTTATGTCTGCTTATGAAAAATAACACATGATTAAAGTTGACTACTGATGAAAGCATAAGCAGCTCTTCAACACACATAAGCAGTTTGACTAGTTTCTGTTTGACTGCAGTAATTGACACAAATACTCTTAAAGTGTTTCATGTTTTTATTTATTTTATTTTTTCACTTGTGTAAAGCTGTGAAAATCAAAAATTAAATATTCTGTGTTTGAATTGATCAAACATTGCTACTCACATAGTGTATGTCTTTTTCATCTCAGCAAATGAAAAAAACCCACCAAAGTACTGTAAAGGAGTGTGAAACTTTCTGTACACAAATCAGTTTGTCTCCTAAAAGCAGTAAAGCCATTGTGTGGTGCAGCAGTAAAGGCCTCTGAGCGTGTGAGAAGGATGTGCTAACACAGTGTTTCTCACTTCCCTGTCACTTGACAGAGAGGAGATGAAGTCCCTCCAGGCAGCCCTGCAGAAGCAGCTGGATGAGGCAAATGAGAGAGCTGAGAAACAGCAAGCCACGGTAAGTCAGAGCTGACCTCACCATCAGTGCTCGGTCTCCTCTAACCAACCCCGTCACCTGTCACACTAGGCCTCCTAAGTCATCCACGCTCATTACACAGCAGCTGGCTTCTGCATCCATCTCTGAACTCTTAATTGAAACCACCTTAAACAGCAGGGGAAAGCCACGTGCCACATTTTATTTGTTCCGCCACACGTCTGGAACCCATACATATTCAGTTTATCACCAAGGAAATAATGGGAAACAGCAAATTGTTGCAGTCGTAGAGCTGGAAGGAAAAAACTTTGAGTCATTTCCTGAATGAAAAGGGATGTTCATTAGTTCTCCATTGAACAATGAATTAATTTGGAAATTTCATAAGTAATTTGAAACCTTCAGATGTGGACTAATGTGTTAGTTCCCTTTCACAATGTGCACAAAGTAAACTCATGCATACACCAGAAATCATGTTTGTTATACTGAATTTTGAAGACATTTGTTTTCATTATTGATTCATTTGAATATATTTTACAAATACAGACAAAAACAATTAATTCTGTTATATTGGATTTTGTGTCATCTTTTCCCTCATTCCTTTTAATGTAACTGAGCTCCATTCCCAACTTGAAACTTGTGCTGAATCTCGACACAGCATGAAATGTGATTGGATCCTCCACAGATCCCAGGTACCCCATACTAGATGCAGCAAAGCCCCAAAACAAAGCCTCTTGTTCCACAGTAGGCATCGCGTATTTTGTTCTTTGCATGCTTTGTTTTTGTATCTGCAAACACGAAGCTGATGTGACTCACCTAAAAGCTTCAGCTTTCTCTCATCAGTTCAAATAATTTTTGCTCAGAAGCTTTACAGCTTGTCAACATGCATTTTGGTGAATAGCAGTTTGGTTTTTTTTGTGGTTAGCCCCTTGGGTGTTCCTCCATCGATCTTGCTGTGGTTGAAGAGCAATCAGAAAATGGTTTGTTTGGCTCTTCCATCCAAGCTCCTCATCTGATCAACCCAGGGTGGGATTTCCTCTCCTGCATCCTTGGAAGTTGGCTCCAAATTCTGATATATGTGCTCACAGAAACATGAAGCTACTTGAAGATGGTCTTGGAGCCTTAGCCTTCAGCAGGGTTATGTGTAATCTCATCTCTAAGCTCTTCAGATTGCTCTGGCCTGTGCATTCTCTGGCCCATGGTCAGAGTGTGGTTCACACCACGATGGCGGTAATGATTAAAGTGAAACAGTTTGAAACCTGACTGTAATGCAGGGGGTATCAACTAATCTGTCCATAATGCCGTTGCTCTACTTTGTAAACTACAAATAATTTATTTTCTCAGCTTCTGGAGAAATGAAGCATTTTTAAATGAGCTGTAAGAGTGCCACCATATTTGTCTACGACTGTAGCCTAATGATCTGCAAAGTAAACGTTCTTCTCCTTTTCTAAGCTATTCCAAATCAGTTATGAGTGTAGATCTTCTAGAGGTAGTCAACAGGCAGAGATTATGTAGGTTGTAAAATGTAATATTTTATTCAAGAGAAAAAGAAAATTAAAAATAAACTGTAAAGATTGTTTTTTTTTTCATTTCAAACATTTAATTCTTCTGTTCATTCTTTGATTCTGACATGGATGTATTTACATCTTTGCCGAATCCCACGGGCCCTGCATGTTTTACTGCTGTGGAAAATTACAAACACAGCTGTCCCTAAAAGAGAATCTTTGCCTCTTTTTGGATCACTTATTTATGTATAATTAACTCTGATAAACTTGCGAAACCAGTGTTTATTTATTGCCAGAAAACAACAAGAGTAAAAAAGCACTAAACATTTGGCAAAAGATTTAAAAAAAATGTCTACATTCTCACAAGCCTAAAAGTTCATTCTAGTTTCTCATAGAGATTATTTTTATATTGCTATTAAGTGCTGACTTGCCAAACCAAAACAAAAGACAAGAATTAAGGGGCAATCGGACAGTATTAAAATGTATGGTCTGTTGCAGCTCTGAAGGGGAACTGCTCTGTCTTATTTAGCTGCTCCACATCCGTATCCTCACACAACCTTTAGGAGGCTTCTTGAGGTGTTTTCAGTTTATTTATTATTGTTATCATTTTTTTAAGCTTGTAACGGCAGAGTGCCATGGAGTTTTAAATCAATGTAACCTTCTGTTTTGATGTTCAAGGAACTCAGACGAGTGAGTTTTATATGTGACATTTTATCAAAGGATAAATAAAATAACATTCAGGTTTTTTCTTTGAGAATTGGACTCTCAGTAACTCTTATTATTCTTATAATTCATTCTTTCCTCTTCTGTAGCCACTTCTTCCTGTCTGGGTCACGGACAGCTGGAGCTTGGGCATGGGTTGATAGGATTACTCTAAACATAAGAACTAAAACAGGAAGATTAACTTGTTTGTTGTTTTAATGAGATCTCACTCCTTACCAAAGAGGCTGAGTCCGTTTTGACTTCCTGAGTATTTACATTTCCAACAAGTACTTGCTCTGAGAGTATATAGTAGATTAGTGAAGTTTTTACTGGATCCTCAGAATTTCTTCTTGAACTCAGTTTTCAGTCATTTGTGGAAAAATGTTTCCCTTTTGGAGCAAATTAATTTTTGACTTTTTCTCATTCCATTAATTTCTTTTTTGCTATTTTTTAAACTGAACAAACTAAAAGCAAAACAACCCCCACCACCCTCCTCGCTGCACTGGATGAAACTCAGAGAACAAACAGAAACAGGGTTCAATGAAACACTCAAAGCACAAAAACAATCTCACAAAAGAAATAAAAGAAGCTATAAAAAATGTCCACAGACACACCATCGAAATACAACAAAAAAGATGATCACACAAAATTAAAGCTGTTCAATGAGCCTCCTGAAGTGCATCTAATTCTTTCCAATTGTGCATGGAGCATCCACCACCCAGTGGGATGGTGGGTGTGAGTCCTTGCATTTGAAAAGAATAAGTCTTTTGATCAGCTGACAGCAAACGGCTACCATTTGCAGATAGTGAGTGTCAGAAGCAGCATCCACAGTGACCAGCCCATATGAAGTGGTCAGAGGGTCAGGATGCACAGTGACCCCACATATCCTGGAGATCGTATCAAAGATAGGCTCCCAATATCCCTTCAGGTTTGGGTATGTCCAAAACATGTGAAGAAGCATAGCAGATGATCGTCTGCAAAGCTCACATGTTGGGTCCAAGTTGGGCTTTATTTTAGATAGTTTGTCTCTGGACCAAAGGAAATGATGCACCACTTTAAACTGAATGACACAATGTCTCACGTAGGTGAAGGACTAGATTCCATCACCAGACCTCCTCCGATAATCCAACAGCCAGCCAACTTCCCATTTCTGTTTCATAACATCCAGACTCCAGGATAAGTGGGGTCACTGTGCATTTGGGCTCTTGGCCAGATCGTCGTTGTAAATGAGAATGAGTTCTCATTTGACTCATCTGAATAAATAAAATAAATAAATAAAGACTAGTCCGCTGGTGATTTGAAAAACATTTATTTTAAAAAAGGGAATAATCTAAATCAACCTTCACAAGCTTCCCTAAAAATAGGCAGATCCATTAGTTGTTTGAACGACTCACATTGTTTTGGGTTTGATTGTTTGGATCCCTGCTCCAAGGTCATGTATCACCCTTTTAATATGTTGTGGGGTAATTAGTGCCCTGACATGATGTCCATTACCCACCTGGCCATCAGGTGGGTCATTAACGTCCTTCTCACCTGTGGGGGTTTTAATCTCGCGACCTTCATTTGAGAAGTTAGAGCTTCAATCAAAATGTAAAACATGGAAAATCAGCTTAACTTATGATGTAAGACCTGCTCTAGAATGGTTTAAGCCATGCAGCTCTAGTGGGTTTTGGGCATTTAGTCACCCCTACAGACTGCAGCATTGTATGAAACAAAGAGGCCCCACTCAGCCTGTGACTAATGGTTTCTCCTTAAGGTGAACCCGTTTTATTTGACTTCCTCCCAGCAGATAAAAACCGAATAGCCTCTTAGATTAGAGGTGAAACTGTTTCAAGCTTAAAAGGAAAAAGAAAATCTATTTTCTTTCTGTAATTACATTTATATGGATTGCTATAACAGCCCCCATTCATGTTCCATTCAGCAAGAACAAAAAGACAAAAGCAAAACCTTAGGAAACTTCTTAGTTAGCTCCATTATGTGGTCAAATTATGATTTGTTTGTTTTGCTTGAAAAGCCAGACATTTAAATCAGAGTCAGACATAAGTCATGCCTGAGTTACCCCCGTAAGCACCACTGCTAGAATAATAAAACAGTGTGGCATTTTTTGTGGACTGATTAATCTTTAAATTAACAGGATTTGTTTTCCTTCTAATTAGTTTTTCAGACAGAATAACCTGAGTTAAACCCGATAAACCTCAGTCTATACAAATTACCCTTTATCTCTAAAAATAAAAGGTTGTGGCAGATCAACTGATGACTTTTCTGGAGCCACACAACAGTTTTGATAAATTCCAATCTGGTTTTAGTAAAAAGCATTCAACAGCAACAGCTTTGCTTAAAGTTTCCAGTGACATCATGATGGCTGCAGACAACGGGGAGTTTACAGTGTTAGTATTAGATCTTTTTGCAGCTTTTGACACTGTTGATCACAACACCTTCATTAACAGACTCGGTGACTCGGTGGGGATCTCTGGAACTCGGGGCTGTGCAGAGACCTGTGAAGGGCGGGTGCTCAAAGTTAATAAAAGGGCACATATAGAGCAAATTATTCAAACAGATTTACGATCCAACAAGTTTGAAAATTCAGATAATGAGGTCCATGGGTTCAAACAACAATATAAACTAGGAAAAATATGCAATTTTGTGTAATTAACTGAAGGTAATGGTAGTTCATAAATAATTGTTTTAGTTTTCAAAGCTGACTTATATCTAGAGATGTCAAAACCACATTTTTGTCCAAGTTGTTTGCTTTTTGATTATCTCTCAATACTGAGTCCTGTTCCGATACGAGGTAATGATGCAATATGTTACAAAAAAAAA